AGGATCTGAATTTTGATGTGAATGCTTCAGCAACATCCAGTTTTTTGGGTGGAAATTTGGGAGAGACAGCATTAATCCTCCTTGCCATCCAGTGAGGTATCTCTCTACGAGGACCATCACTCAGTAGTTTCCACTTTTGAGAATCAACATCCGTCAAAAGATCTATCCGTCCCCCATTAACAACATAGATAGAATCTTCATCGCCTTCATCTTGTAGCCTTCCCTTCAACAGCAATGATTCAGCCATTTCAGCTCTCTGTCTCCACGTCTTCAAAGCATCTTCCGATGCCTTTAATGATCTCTGCAGTGCTTCACATCTTCTTAGGTAGGCATAATCTTTACAATGAACCACTTCTTTGGCAGCCTCAACAGTAGCCTTGATGTTCTTCAAGTCAGCCTTAAAAGCCTTGGAAATAGCTTTCGTTCTTTCTGCCACATCTTTCTTCACTTTGTCCAACATTGACTTCATCTCTTCCTCCTTCTTGAGACTGTTTTTCCTGCTTGACTCCTGAAATTCAAGCATGGATTTCTCTGCATCATTAGCTCTTTGCTCAAATGCCTGTAACTGCTGTCGGGTGTTCTCTAACTCAAAATTCAGTTTATCAGCCTCATTTCTTGCAACCATCAACTGAGATTCTATATCACTTATTATTCCTTGTAACTTGATATTTTCCGCCTGGACGTCTGCAATTTCAGTAAATGGAGACGTACCATCCATTAATGTATCCACGGACCTCTTTACAAGTTCACCTGCTTCCTCTGCCACAACTAAAGCCCTCTCTATAGCATGTCTTGATTTTTCCACAATGGATGATATTGTTCCCTCAGTTGCATCCTTAATCTGTTTTTCAATCAGAAGTGCTGCTTCAGCAGCTGTGGTTTCAGCAGATGAAATTCGGAGTTGAGCATCTTCTAGTATATGAGAAGTTGCCTGCTGGAAAGCAACCTCTGCTAATTTTTCAACCTGCACAGCAAGATCAACAGCATCTTGTTTGGCAAGGACCAGCTTAGATTCCAAGGTGAACTTCTCTTCCACTGAGCTCTCCAGCTTTTTCTGGAAAAGAGATTTCGCAGCCTCAAGTTCTGCTATAGCTACTTCCTTGTCATGTAAAATGGTATTCACGTATTCCTTATTTTTAGCCTCAGAACGAGCAAGTTCTTCGAGTAATTGATCTCTCTCTTTCTCGATAACCTCTTGTCTGTGTTGCGCCTCTGAGAGAGCCTTTTTGGCTATCTCTAATTCATCTTCTATTCCTATAACATCACTTCTGACTGAAAGATCGTCCTGATCGACAACTACGTCTGTCAATGTGTCATCTGAATCATTCTGTTGTAGAAATAAATAAATATAGGTCACTCTCCCATTACCGAAACATAAGCCGTTGTCATTTGTACCTACTAACTACAGTATCACTAAAAGATATGTGAAACTTGGTCACTTTATTGAACCCTATTATTCAAAATGACCAATCTCCAAAACATACATTTCTTGTTTAAAAATTCCAGTTCAGGAAAAACAAATTAAAGATAAAGTTAACAGTTTACAGAGAGTAGTGTTAATGATTAACCACTCAATGACTCAAGCAGCCAATTGTTCCTAAACTAAAACTACTTACACCAAGAATTCATTTTCTGCATTTTCCAGAGAAATGACACTAGTCATCTTTTTAAAATACCTTATTCTGTTACCCGTCTCCACTCTACCCCAAACTCTAACCATTTGACACTAGGTATGATTCAACTGCGTAAGTGTAATAGAAAAATCACGTGCAATAAAAATGGTTATTTTAAACCAAGTGTAAGTGGTGTAGACAACTCTTAATAACTTGTACGTTAGATGTAATTTACCAGACAATATATCAACCTGGTAAAGCTAGTCAAGTTGAAGATTCAAGCAAAATGGTTTGAACTGTCATAAGAAAAGTTGCAAAAGGCATGTTGAAGAGAAACGAGGCCAAATGATAAGTTCATAAGCAACATGGAAAGATGGAAAGGTGAATTCCGAGTAAAGAATTCCTATTCAAAATATTGGCTATTTTTATAACTTAGCAGCATTGCCTTAGGTAATACTCTGACCGATAACTTCTACTTCATGGTAAATATTTAATTTTGTTCTGGGATTCTACCAAATAATACTTCACTGTTCGAAGAGTTTGCTAAAACTAGCAAGTATACAGCTGAAAAGCGAAACCCAATCTTTATGAGAAATGTCAGTGACTTTATTTAGCCAACTCCAAAAAAAGGCTATAACTTTACTAAACTTCCCATCTTTATACTTTACTATATAACCTTATTAGTTAATCTTCTCCATTTATAAACACCAACTAAGCTATGTACACAACTCCTTACCGAGTGTGAAAAAACAATGTGTGCTGATTTGGAGATCCTCTGGTCAGCAAAGAAATAATTTCTGCAAAAAGAAATTATCAATAACATAAAGTGGAAAGTAACAGAAAAACATAACACGACTCAGTTTAGTTATAAGCCCACCTCCTTCGAATTGTCCTAACAGAAGTTATTCTACAGATCAAAGGGTGTCTGGGAACAATGGAACAGCGTGGAAATATTCCAAATGCTGCATCAGGCAACAGAGCAGCTCCCATTTTATTACTGCATAATAGAATCATACAATCAATTCTTGCACTCAACTTTCAATCATCGTTGAAGTTGAATAACAGAAGGATGCATATCAGTAAATTAACTATAGCAGTACAACATGACGTACCACTATTCCTTTTCTTCTTATCTCCTTAACCTCACATCCAGAGCCATCACCAACAACTATCTGAAAAAAAATACACAAAAAGGAAAAAGAAAAATAACCCACGTGATATCAGTCGGTGACAGAAAAGATTACAGCTGAATCAAGCCGAAAGTTTGGAACTTGGATAAATGCAATTTCAGTTTTTTAAAAAATGCTGAATTTTTGTTGTTTTTTCAATTCTTCATTGAAAAAAGTGAATTATTTATTTGTATGAGGAAATGAGTGGTGAGTAGTGAATGTGACTAGATAGCTGAGATGGGACCTGGGTAGTGTAGCAATGGCGCGGACAACGAGAGCTTTTCACGGCCACAAAGTTGAATACAGAAAGTGAACGAAGTTCAGAATCACGTTGTCTCAGCCTCACAGAGTCAACTTTTAATTGTAAAGTTTAGAAAGAAGTAAAAGCCTTGAAAGAAAGCCCTTATTTATAGAAATCGTCATTATCTACTCTCTTTTTTCTTTCTAAAGCGATGTATAACTTCAGAGATTTTACTTCTTCAAAAAAATTTCATGACAGACACTGTCAGAGAATCCAACTTGTCAGTTAGATTAAAAAACTTGTCGTTTTTCTTAAATAATCTTTGAAAAAAATATAAGTAGCTCATGAAATATCAAATAGCTATTGGTTTAGTTCCTATGTTTATATTTTATTCATATTTAGAAACTAATTTAAAACCTTTTTAAATATTTTAGAGAATGGCTATCATACTTTTAATACTTGAAAAATTACTCGATTGATTTTTTTAGTTCAAGGATTTTGGAAAATAAGTTTGAAGATTTACTAGTCAATCTTTGGCAATTAATAACGAAAGAATATTAGTTAAGAAATTACTAACTTATTCACTCGGTGGTTTGTAATAAGCTAAATTGTTTTTTTATCCCTCTTTCATTTTATTTTTATTTTTATTTTTATTTTTATTTTTTTGTGATTTTAGCTTTCTTTATTTCTTGAAAATTTATTTTCGAATTTTAGAAAAATCAAAAGTTTTAATATAGTTTTCAATTATACATATCTTTTTATCAAATTGAACCTTAAATGTAATATATTTATTAAAGATATCATTAAGAAGTAATTTAATTTAACTAATTACAATGTAAAAAATAAAAATAAGATGCAATTTACCCTTATTATAATATTGACAAGTTGATTTTATGGGAAATATTATTGTTGCTTAACTACAGAAGTATAAACTCCTATAATATAATTTATTAATCTCATAATAAATTAAATTGTATATTAGACTTAATGAATAAAATTCTCGATCTGAATATAAGTAAATTAGACTTAATGGATAAATTAAAACATTAGCTTTTCGCTATAATTATGTAAAAGGTTGGCAAATAAAATAGGTTGTTTAGTTTACGCATCAACCTCTTTCAACTTATAACTTTTCACTAAATTCAGAGAAAAGATTTTTTAAAATTTTCCTCGAAAATACGTCAAAACATATATTTGATCTAAAACCAAGTTCTAGTTACAACCAATGCAAAGGTTATTTTTGCAAACTCAGATTATAAAAAAACTAACTAAAATTTAACTCAAATCTCGTTGATTTATGTCCAACCAACATTATTAAGAGAGATGCATGATGCCAGAAACATCTGTTCGAAGATCCAACTCACGGATTATGACATGGGTTTACCTATAAAGCCAGAAACTTTATTAGATATCTAACTGCTCTTAAGGAGAAATAGCATGCACAACAGTTAAGACGAGGCTTCAAAAGTTAAATACGAATACAAACTATTTCTGTGACTATCAGAACATTCAAGCATTCAGTGTATATATGGATTCCACTGTTTTCAGGAACACAGATTCATATTTTTAAAATAACAAATGTAACTGTTTTAAAGGTGAAAGAAGCAAATCAAGAAACCAAGAGATAGGGTTTTGAAATGACTCAATTCTCAAAAAACCCACAGAAATAAATCATTAATACATCCCAAATTTAACTTCAATTATCCCTTCCAATCTTCACCAATACTCAGAAAATCCTCATTTTTTTACATAAACCACTACCACTAGAGTTAAACTTTAGACTGAGTAAGAAAACAATGCTGGGCAGAACAAATCCTGAAACATACAACATTAACTTCAAAAGCAATTGACTAATATTTCACTATCTTGGAACAATTTACAGTCCAATGGTTTCAAAATCAGTGCTTGGTTTCAAAAACATGTCCAATTAAGAATAAAGAACAAGAGTAATTATCAAGAAAGATACGAAAACATGTAGCATTCAAAAGAAAATAGATTCACATTTCATATTCGACGGAAACAATTACACCATTCTTACAACCAAGCCAAATCCCAACCATAGCATTCAAAGGCAGAACCCTAACCATACCCACTAAACATTTTAACAGTCTCTTTAAGCCCTCTCGCCTCTAATTCTACGAGCGAGTTGAATATCTTTAGGCATAATGGTAACCCTCTTGGCATGAATAGCGCAGAGGTTGGTGTCCTCGAACAACCCCACAAGATAGGCTTCAGCGGCTTCTTGAAGCGCGGAAACAGCGCTACTCTGAAACCTCAAGTCAGTCTTGAAGTCCTGTGCAATTTCCCTCACAAGCCTCTGAAAAGGAAGCTTTCGGATGAGGAGCTCGGTGCTCTTCTGGTACTTTCTAATTTCCCTCAGCGCCACCGTCCCCGGACGGAACCTGTGAGGCTTCTTCACACCACCGGTGGCCGGAGCAGACTTACGGGCAGCCTTCGTCGCCAGCTGCTTACGTGGTGCCTTACCACCGGTGGACTTGCGAGCTGTCTGCTTCGTACGAGCCATGTCGAAGAGAGATTCGACTGAGAAAGTTTAGGAAATTGGGAATTTTAACCTCTGGAGAATGTGAAGGAAATTGCAGTGGATGAGTATGAAAATGAGATTTGGGATAATATTTATACACGGGAGAGAGAGAGAATGGCGCGGGAATTGTGAAAGCCTTTTCTGAAACGTGAAAAGGGAAACGCGCATCCGTTGATGGGAAGAGAAATCAACGGTTGTAAGTGCTTTAAAGTAGGAGCACTGGGATCGCGATCCGTGGCACGGAAGGTAACCAATGGGGCTTTTTCTTTTCCTATCAAAAAATTTGAGGCAAAGTTCCCGGCATCTTGTTCTTTATGTCAGAAATTACTTGGAATGTATTATTTACTTATTTTAATAAACAAACTTTAATTTCGTTATTATAATTTGTAAGTTATTAGTTATAGTTTATTTTAAAATTATTTAGAAAATTGTGTTTGGTGTTCCCTTTCATTTGAAATGTATTGTGGGAACTCTTGACAAGTGATTTGAAAATACTAATTAGCATAAATTTATGACAGTTACACTAATTGCATGCACTTAATTATTAAAATTAAAGACACAGTTGTGGAACTTTAATTAAAAAGTTTAAAGTTTTTTCAGAAGTTCAGGAACAACGAGTGATATGTGATTTGACTTAATCTAATTTGTCTCAAGACAAAATTTGAAATTTATAAAAATAACAAAATGATATTTTTATTTTGAAGCAAATAGCAAAAATATTTTAACTCAACATAGACAATAATTTTCTTTTAGGTGACCATCTTTATTTTTTACTTAACTTTCTTGTAAGAATGTTCCATTTTATGTTTTTTAAACTTTTAAACTTTACAAAAATATTTTAACTACTTAAATCAACATAAATTTAACTAACAATGGAACAAACTTATAAATAAGTATTTAATATCATTAAAAGATTCACATAAAAAAATAATTCCTTCTTAAGTCAAGATTCATTATAATTAAAACAATAATAGGCATTCTCCTTGATGTCCAATTTAATTGAATAATAAAAAAATTTTACCTTGTACACGTTGAACAAAAGACAAGAACATAGTTTACAATCTTAAAATTTAACTCAAATCTCTTGTCAAGACATGCCACGTTTGTTAAGTCTTAACACAGTACCAGAAAAAATATGATATTTTCTTTTGTTTCGTGTATTGGATGAGATGAGTTAACAATCAATCAAATTAAAGTAAAGAAAAAAATTAATTTAGATTTTCTAATGAATGTTTTCTTCCTTATGACAATCTTCTCTTATTCTTTGTGTGCATTAACTTATTACCTCCTTTTCTAAACCTCTAAATTTCAAAAAAAACACAATAATTACTTAAACCAACACAAAATTACACTAACAACATAACAAACTTACAATACAAAACCATTTGATGTTGTTGGAAGGTTTGCACCGTGAGAAATAAATAATCTCTTCTCAAGTAAAAGTTAATTACAGTAAAAAATAATAACAGAAATTCACCTTTACACTCAATCAAGATGAATAATAAGACATTCTCTAGTTTTTTCATGGCAAACAAAAGGTAATATTATAGACTGTAATCTTAAAACTCAAACCAAATCTCTTGTTATCACTAGAACATGCCACATTTGTTAGCTATTAACATGTGGTCAACAATGTGATATTTATTTCATGTCTCATAATATTGGAAAAGGTGAGTTAAAAAAGAACAGATTAAAGTCAAGTGTCTAATTTTAATTATATTTTTTAACGAGTTTTTCTTCTATTAAATAATCTGAACTTGTAATGTTTTTATTGTTAAAAAATAGGTATATTATTAAAAACTAGATATTATATATGTTATTCTCAATCATAAATGGGGAAGGAAGGATTTACTCTATATCAACTCTAAATTAATTTGAGTTATTTTATTAATTATTTTATGAAAGTTAATTCTTAAGATAGGATATTTTAGTGATTGGCTATGTAATGCAATCAAAATTTAGATTTTTATTTTTTTTCATCCCAATCAAGTAAGTTTTATAAACTTCCCACCCATATGTACTCACTTATTCTTAATCACAACAATATCAATCCCCCTCATTTCTTTCTCTTTCCATCATTACCTAAATATAAGTATACCTTGAGAGCATGGTATGACCTAACTAATTGTGTGTCACATGTGATGACATGTCTAAAATTTTTGGATATTTTTCTGAGATTGGAAGTCAGCTTATTTTAACTGAAGCTTAAATTAGGGTTTTTTAGGTTCCTTAGGTTCTTTACTTTAACCGAAACATATCACCTAAGCTGTGTGATTAGATGTATGGTTGGTGTGCAGTTCGTGAAACACGAATTCAACATTTAACTTTGGAAAAAAACCCAAAGAGAAAAAGGTTCAAGTTGGTGTTGGTCTTCTTCTAGAAGATATGTAAGTAAGGTGATTTTTTGTTTTTGTGGTAATAAAAGGAAGGATTGGCGATATAGGGTTTGACCATGTACGTAATTTACTTTTGAAATCATTGTTGTAGTGAAATGAAATCTAACAATAGAGGATTTGGTTGCACTCGAAGGAGCATTGATTCGATAATGTCACAAACATGTGGGTCCAACCCTTTTTACAACCATCTAAACACATGTAAAATGACTCAAACCTTGGTGGCAAAGTGGGTTGGGATTAATTGACCTTAATCTTGAAGGTTCCAACCTTAACTTTTAACAGTTCAACAACATAATCTTATAAACGACAATATTATTGTTCTCCCTCTCCCACTAAAGAATCCATTGTAAATTACTTTGCTTTTCCAACTTTCCAAGGAGTTATTCCAACATTGTATGACTTCTTAATTTCTTAAATGATTTGGTTGATTGTCATGTTACCCACATTTACAAATTTATCCACTAATACTTGTGCAATCAACTGTACACTTGCACTTTTATTCCCCAAAACCCTTCCACATCTGTGACGCCTGACCAAAGTCTTCACCATAAACGTATGGTTGCCTCCTACCTTGATAGCCATAATTAAAAACCACATTTCTTTTTACACACAACCTTAACTCTATTCTGGTCATTCTTTACAAATTGAACTTTTTTACCATTTATAATGTTATTTTCATTAACGCCTTTTTAAAATCTTTCAATGACAAAACTTCATCCCCAATTTAATTTTGAAGGTCTTGTTCATCTCCTCCGCTCTATACTTTGGAGACTTTCCCTATTCAAACTCACATCGTCATCATTATCTACATTTGAAGACAAATCATCAACATTGTAACCTTCATTTATGTCATGGTCTCCAACTTCTTCATTAATGATAAATGACCATTCACCAACATTGCATCTTCTCCTCATCGTTTTCTTCTTCTTCTTTTTTAATTCTACTCCACCTATCCAATGTAGGATTAATATTTATACGATCGCGTACCACTCTCTCATTCTCCATCTCAAACCTATCATCATCATTTGTCATTCTTTTTTCTTCACTCTCATCCACTTAATTTTGATTGAAGTAAATAACCCTAATATGAGCTTCAAGATAACTTTCAATTTCAAAAAAACATCTAAAAGGTGTACACATGTCATCACACGTGGCATACTGTTAGCCAACTCATACAAAAATTAACGTCATTAGTATTCGAGGACTAAATCTGATAGTTTCATCAAGGAGAGAGATGAAAATAAAACAAAGTTTGGAAGAGAGACTAAACCCAAAAATGCATGATAGATTTTGATTGAAGTAAATAACCCTTAAGAACCCTAATTTGAGCTTCAAGATAACTTTCAATTTCAGAAAAACATTTAAAAAGTGTACACATGTCATCACATGTGGCATACCGTTAGCCAAGTCATACAAAAATTAACGTCATTGGTATTCGAGGACTAAATCTGATAGTTTCATTAAGAAGAGAGATGAAAATAAAACAAAGTTTAGAAGAGAAACTAAAACCAAAAACGCATGATAGAGTGACAACCAAAAACATATTTAACCCTATAATTATTAACAAACAAACAACTTTTTATTTATTAAGAGCGTACGAGTCAAAGTGTCATGAATTTATTTTGACTTAACTCACTTTACTTTTGCCATAAAACAATTGATACATCCTAACAAACTCAAAAGATTAAAAAGCATAACCAAAGTTGGATAAATCATGTGGGGTGCACAAGTTATTGGCAAACTTTAATAGATAAAGTACATTTGAAACCTCGTGAAACGTAAAATAAACAACAATTAAAAGTTTAGTAAGATAAATATGAACATAACTATGAAATGAAAAAAGCCAAAATAAAGAGAATTGAAGAAGTTGGAATTGACCCTAAAATATAAAACTTTAGTGGATAGTCAATACAACAAAATAGTTACGTGTTTTGTCTTGTTAACAACAAATTATAGGTTTTGTTTGTAATGATAGTAAGTTTAATAGTAATGTTTTTTAATAGGCTTTAAAGTTATTGGTAGAAATCACATTTTGGGTTAAAAATTCATAAGATAATATAAAAGCATTGTTATCTCGATATAATGCACACACAACAATTAATAACATGAACATCTTGGAAGATGATGTATCGAATTTATTGACTTTGATAAGGTCGAATATGTCAATTTTCTTCCAATATGACTCATAAACTTTCTTGATTTGCTCAAACCACTTTTATTGGTTGGTTATTTTCGTTGTTAAGTCAATACAATTAAACTATGACAATCTTTAAATTGTGAAGCAAGAGATAGAAGAAAAATAATTTCTTTAAGTCATTAATGGGATGAGATCAAGGTCCTATAGAAACAAAATATTTTTCTGTAAAATAAGTAATAAATCACTATTTGAGTCACATGTAGTTCAATAATTCAACTTCAATAAGAACACAATGAGAAGAACACACGAGATGAAAAAAATAAGATGCGATAACCACGTTTTGAATAATAGATGAAAAAAGATTTTGAGAATTCATGAATTTACAAATAGAATATATAAGATGGAAAATAAGTTAAATAAACATTTACAAAAAATTGTAGAAATTTTGGTTAATGGAACTTCAACCACTTGAATTAAAAAAATAATTACTTTTTATATAATCAATTTTATGATGAAAGTTCAAAAAAGTTTGAATTTTTAGATTT